TTTTTTTTCTATTATAAATTTTAGTTGGAAATTTTTAAAAAGGAAACTAAATACAAAATTAATAATACTATTTTACTATTTTGATAGTATATTACTATTTTGTGAACTGTCCTTTTTAATGAAATCATATTATATAAACATATATTTTCGTTTTTAAATTTAATAATTTGTTTTCTTTTTTATTATAAAAGTTATTTGGAATGTTTTGAAAAGGAAACTAAACATAAAATTAATAATATTATTTAAATATATTCATCAAGGGTATCATAGTAATCAACCGGTGTAAGAGTTAACGTGAGCACGCCACATAGGAAAGTGACTTCTCAAATAATATTATAGAGATATTGTATAAGCGTATATAATTACAAGTTAAGAACTTTACGGAAATCAAAGCCGAAAGTTTCTAAAAAAGATTTTTAACAAAAAATATTGTTATGTTAATAATTAAAATTAAATGTAAAGTAAACACAAGAGTTAGACGAAGTGGTATAAAGGAGTAAGAACATTTCCAAAATGGCTGTAATTAGAACTCTTCTTGTATCTCTTTTCTATTTTCTTTTGTTTTTTGATTTTCTTTTAATAGTTAGAATCTCATAAAAACCCTACGATGGACGTGCTCTTATGGACTTGACTAAGAATCATCGAGTTCGAGTAGATAGATATTCATAATCGCCTCAACTTGAGTATACCAACCAAACCTGACACAAAACTATACACAACTATAATTGAAATACTTAACATTCATAAACCAAAAGCTATAATTGAAATACTTATATAACATTCATACCCCAGAAACAATAGTTGAAATACTATTATATGATTTCTGAATAATAATACCATTTTATATATCATTTGATGCATAAATTTGATATTTCCTTTGTGCCTTGTTCTCGTACATCTTGGGGAGACAACCACTAGAGACTAAAAAAACTTGCATCACAGAAAAACGGATAAGTTCACTGAAGACACTGTCATAGTGTATCAGGTCAGAATGGCCTCGAAATAGTAAGATAATTTACTAAATATTCAGATGTTTATACTATCTTAGAGTGTTTTAAGATGGTGGTTGAGAATATATGTTTCTTGGAAATACTTTAGATACTCTACTAGATCTTTAGTGAGATATTTATAGTTATCTCAATCCTGATTCAAGTACTAGAGTTAGAGGTTACTGAGTTATGTGATGACTTGACTCATGACTGTCCACTTGTCTTTTACAAGAGCCATAAGGATGTTAGTTTTGGCTACGCTAGCATGAAATCGTGTTTGATTAGCCGGCTTAAAACTGTCTCATGTAGTGTCTCACTGAGACTCGTTCCATCACCAAGGCATAAAAATGAGCTTGATCTCTTAATCCAGAAGGCGAGTCCTACGTTTGTACACGGCCTTAACTACACACAAGTCATATCATAATCAGTTGAAATTAAATAGATAACGATTTTTTTAAAAATGTTAAATTTGTGATCAACTAAAAACTGTTTCTTCACAAAATATGCATCTGAGTGAGTGTTTATTACATTGGTTTTGAGTTTTAGAAAGTCTTCTTATTTGGTGATTTACTTTTCACTAGGGTTTTGGGGAAATTCACATCTACAATCCTCCATCTATAACTTAAATCATTTTTCTTGTGATAGACGTTAGTCAACTTCAGACGTTCTATCAATCATCTCAACGAGATGAATTTGTGTTGTTGTTGCTTCGCCATGTCTCCCATTATCTCTTTTTCACCACATATGATATAGATCATGGCTAAAAAACAATATCAGATCAAGAAGTTCTTCAGTCTACAGAAATCTGGTACATGTGTTAGCCTAATCAGAGATCCAATAAGTTTTTTTTTTCTGAAGAACAATGATGTTAAAATACCAACTTTTTTTTTGCTTAAATTAAATATCAAAGTTTTGATACTAATTTATAAATTGTGTATTTTGTGTACATCTAATTATTTTCCACATTGTACAGTTTGTTTACTAAACTTTTGTTTCGTTTTCTTTTTTGAAAAAAGGCATAAATGTTTGTTTCTTGAATTTTTTGAAATATTAAATTTTATAGTTTTAATAATAAATAATAACATTAATGTTTAATGTGTACTTAAAAAGAAGAATTATATGCTCACAGATCACATGCATCAAATGGCAAAAAGAAAACTACTTCCCATCATCGCATTTACTGAACGTGTTGAAAAATGGCCATCAAAACAAATGGGTTAAAGTGGATCAATCTATTGTCAACCTAGTTTGACATTTTTAACAATTAGTGATAAATGAGTCTTGTGAATTAGTGATGGTTCGTATATTGCATATCTCTTGTAAAATGTGTACCAAATTTCAAACCAAGGCGACCTGAAAATATATACCAAACTGAAATGATTCTGGTTTGACCGGGAAGTTTCAAACTGAAATTTATACCCAGGCGAGTTGTAAGTATGTATCAATCTATTCACCAGAGCGCCAACATATATCAATCTATTACAGGTAATGTTATCAGAAAACGAACATATTACGAAAAATGATTATAGAAACAAATAAAAGATTGGTCAAATTCAGTGATTGGTGGATATAGTATCCAATTAATTAGCTAGACTGTAATAAATTAGAGTGTTATGTATATTATCATAGGTCAAATAGTGTGTTCAGCCACTAGAATTATATGTGAGAAATGATAAGATATAAACGTTTAAAAATTGATAGGTGGTAATTAGACGTTTTATATAGAATTATTGCTTACAATTATTTTAGAAAATAGTTTCATTTAAACCTGATTTATGATTGGTTTTTACAGCCTCGTAACACAATTTTTTTTGTTGTTGTAAAAATAACATTAAACAAGTTTATATTCTCTAACTGTAATACATTTCTTAAATAATTACAAACTTTAAGTTCATAAACGGTTTAGAAAAGTTTATTAGCAGAAAACAACAACAAAGAAAAAACCAGTAAAAAACCATAAATTACTTAGTAATTTGACTAAACCTTTAGTAACATTTCTTATACCTTAAGGCTTAAGGCTGTGATTTTCTTGGTAATCTTTATCACTAAAACGAATACAATAAGAAAACAAAATAAAATATGTGTATTTTGAGAATTGTCCTATAAAATATTCCAATTAATATTTTTTTTCTTTTTAATGAAAAATTTATTCTCCTTAAACATACAGTCCAAGTCTTTTAATAAGAGATCCCCTCTGCTTTTTTAAGACAAAGTGTGTTCGTGTCGAGAGAGAAAAGAGAAGATCTTTTGTAAGAAAATCTCGAAATGTCTTTAGGTTACGCAGAGAAACTATCTTTCATCGAAGATGTTGGTCAAGTGGGCATGGCTGAATTCTTCGACCCATCTCATGTTCTGCAATGCAAGGTCTCTCCCTCTCCTGGGTTTTCTCGAGGGTTTACTCAATTCTTTTTTTTTTTCCTCCCATGGGTTTGATCGGTTTAGATTTTTTTTTATTGGAACAGTTAATCCTTTGTGTGTTCTGTCATAGTCTTCGATTTACGACTTCGTCTTTTTGGATACTCGTGAGGGTTATTGAAGAGTTTGATAAAGAGTTTGTATTGAGAATTTAGGTTTAGGTTTTAGAGTACATATTGAAGAATTGAAATTGGGTAATAACAAACGTCTTTAGATGATTTTGGTTATAATGTGGCTGATTTGTGTTTATTGATTATGTGAGATATGTTGTTTGAAACCAGATTTTGTCTTGAGAATTTTGACTGTTTTTGCATTAATGAGGCAAAGCTTAGGGTGCTAGATTTTAGCTTTAAATTTGGTTATTTACTGTCTGAATTTTGTTTGCAGATTGAACAACTTGCTAAGATGATTCAAAAGGTTTGAAGCTATGGACCTTTCTTTTGTATTACTATTGGTTGCTTTTTTACATGTTTGGTTTTTTTTTTGTCTCTTAAATTATCTTCAAGAAGGTGGTTTATGTTTGCAGAGTAAGCATCTAGTGGTCTTTACAGGTGCAGGCATCTCGACTTCTTGTGGTATACCTGATTTCCGAGGCCCCAAAGGCATTTGGACATTACAGGTCAGTTATGCTTGTTATCATCATTGCTTAGAAGCATCATATCTAGTAACTTACACTTGTGATTCATGTTTATTTGTTTCAGCGTGAGGGTAAAGATTTACCCAAAGCATCTCTGCCATTTCATCGTGCAATGCCGAGCATGACCCATATGGCTTTGGTTGAACTAGAAAGAGCTGGCATTTTAAAGTTTGTCATCAGTCAGGTAATCCTTGCTCTTTGTCCTTACTTAATGACTGTTCTTGATCACCGAGAGAATCTTGTTTTCATAAAATTATTAGAATGTGGATGGCTTGCATCTACGATCTGGAATACCAAGAGAGAAGCTCTCTGAACTGCATGGAGACTCTTTTATGGAGATGTGCCCATCATGTGGAGCTGAGTAAGACAATATATAGATGCTATTGCCTCTCTCATAGATAGTCATTGGACCATAGATGGTAACAGCCTTTCTGAACTTGGTAAGGTACCTACGTGATTTCGAGGTGGAAACTATTGGATTAAAAGAGACCTCAAGAAAGTGCTCTAATGCGAAGTGTGGTGCTAAACTCAAAGATACGGTCTTAGATTGGGAGGTGAGTTTTTGTTACCCTTCTAATACAAATGCTTTGTCCTCAACCTTGTAGTTTAAGACTTTAATTAGCTAAAAATCAATCTTTATGTGTCCCTGATGTTTGTTTCTTCTTATGGCAGGATGCTTTGCCTCCAAAAGAGATTAATCCTGCAGAAAAACATTGCAAAATGGCTGATCTTGTACTCTGTTTGGGTACCAGGTAATTAATGACTCATAAGAAGCATCATGTTTTGAATCTCTTAAACACTCTCAATCATTTATCCTGCCTTTTGCTTGTTTCATGAGCCTTACTCCTTTTTGCAGTTTGCAGATAACCCCAGCTTGCAACTTGCCTCTCAAGTGTCTCAGGGGTGGAGGCAAGATCGTGATTGTTAATCTTCAGGTAAATCATCTTTCTTTTATTCATCTGCATGAGCTCTTATACGCGTCATATAACTACATGATGGGTTCTCTCTCTGGATATTCACTATAAGCCTTCATAGTTTCTTTCAAATGTATATGGAAGAATGTGTTTTTATGGACTTTCTAGTGTTGTTCATCCGAAATTGTAGGCTAATCATATTCGTCATTACAGAAAACCCCAAAGGACAAGAAAGCTGACGTAGTGATTCACGGTCTTGTTGATAAGGTAACATTTCACCTCTTTATATATATACATATATTTTTTTTTTTCTAAAACTGTTGCCAAAACCTAAGTAACGTATAGCAGATTACCTTCAGAACTGTGCTCAAATTGTGTCTTTATAGATGTATTCCTCTGATGTGCAGGTGGTTGCAGGTGTCATGGAAGCTCTCAACATGCAAATTCCTCCATATGTCAGAATAGATTTCTTCCAGATAATACTAAACCAATCCCTAAGCAAAGGTACAATAGCTACCAAATAGAATCTTTACTGTATTTCACATTCATAGTATTCACTCACATGTTTTCATTTCTTTATTACAGACGAAAGGTTCATTAACTGGACCCTTCGTGTTGCAAGTGTTCATGGATTAACTTCTCAGCTACCCTTCATCGAATCAGTTGAGGTAATTATAGAAAACTGCTATATCTCCTAAACCAATATCGACAATGTATTTCTGTTATTGTTTCTGATTCGTTTCATTTGTGAACCAGATTTCATTCTCAGATGACAATAAGTTCAAAGATGCAGTTCTCGATGAGCAGCCTTTCATCATTAAAAGGTATCAAAAACTTTTCTTCAGAGTTGATTCCTTGTTTAATGTCTCATTATAACATATCCTTTTTCATACAGGAGAACAACCGAAACCGAAACATTTGATATATTCTTGAAAATTAACTACAGTGAGGGTTGTGACTGTCTCTCCACCAAAATTAGCATTCCCTTCAAATTTGAGGTTAATTAAGACACATACTATGGATAGAAAAAGATCTTTGTTATATTGACTTATGAGCTTTTTTTCTTACATCTTTGTCAAAAACCTTATATAGGTTTCAAGAGAAGAGCATGAGGAGACTATTGACAAGGAAGCTGTGCTGCAAAGCCTGAGAGAGAAAGCAGTTGAAGAATCCAGTTGCGGGCAAAGCGGTGTGGTTGAGAGAAGATTTGTTTCTGAACCGAGAAGTGAAACCATTGTGTATGCAACTGTGACCAATCTCAGGACATTCCATTGTCAACAATCTGTGCTTGCTAATGGAGACCTCAAATGGAAGATGGAAACGTCTCGTAAACGTTCTAGAACCGGGAAAAGAAAACCAAGGGCATAGGAAGAAGAAAAAAGAAGAAAGAAGAAAGGTCTCTTCTTTGTATATAAACGAACCTCTAAGTCTAACCGGCAAAAATTGGGAATATGGAAAGTTATCGGCGTTTTAAGAGCTGAGTGAATTTTGTGTGCTTTTTACTCACACTCGGTTCTCTTAAACCGGAATTATCCAGGGTTTAAGGCTAAACTGTGTTAGTAGCAGCTATTGTAACTTTGACATGTACTTGGTTTGCATTCGATTTGATCGGATGTATTACAAAAAAGTTACAATATAATCTAGAAATCGTCAGGGTTTTTGTGAAGAGTTATAGATATTATTTGGATCCATGTCTCCTGGATTCTTCTCATTAACTGAACCATAACAAACTGATGTTAACTTTAAATAACGATTACAAAGATCATTCAGACATCAACACTTAAAGAGAAACAAATCACAACACAGTTACTTCGAAGATCATAATGAATGAAGAGGAGTCTCAGTGACTGTAGCCAGCGAGTAAGTCACGTGATGACTGAACACATGCACATGACCGAAACAGCAACTAAATGCATTTTAGATACCTTCATGTCATGTGCGCTTTTTTAAATGACGTTTATCTCCCTGTATTCGCTGAGGGGTTGTCTCCTTTAATTTGAATTCCAAGGGTGAAGTTGTCAAAAAGCCAAATTCAGACTCTTTTCTCGAGGCAGCAACAGACAAAACCAGACCCAATCTCTCAAGCAATCGCAGATTCTGTGGTAATAAAGAAGTCGAAGACACAAGGAGTTGAGTGATCAATGCTGTTTCTTTGGTCTATCAATGGACTCACATTACTCACTTATTCGACTCTTTCTTGTCTCCTTCTGTTTCCTTTGCTTCTTCACCGGTGATTCATCGGCGACAAGAGCTGGTGTCTTCTACACCAGACACAGAGGACGATGCACGCCGCAGTAACTAATCAAACCCTCTTCCCTCCGACAAAGAAACTACTTTTCTGACATTTGACTCTCTCTCGGTTGATACGTGTTTGCAGGTATTGGAGCAGCAGGAGGGAAGGATGGCCAAGAATGGTGCCTGAGGGATCAACGGTGGAGAAAATGTTCGGAGTGATGGTGGCGAAAGAGCGTTGGAGATCTGATCTGACGCTGGTGGAATCAACGGCTAGGAATGACGAGGAAGGGAATGCGTACGGTTCGTTGCTGAAGCAAGGGATCGCTGCTCTGCTCAACTCTTATGCGAGAAGAAGCTTTTCTTATGCTCCTTGGGAGGTGAAGACTATGCTCATTCAGGCCATGATTTCTGAGCCGGCTGCTCGCCGGCAAGCACAAAAGTTCAAAGCCGCTAACGTGGCTTGTGACTAACCTTGAGAATCATATCAAAAGATTAGTAGTCACTTTGTTGTACTTGTTGCTCGGTGTGTTGGTTGTTACGTATTCTTTCTTGTTAATCTTTAACACCAAGAATCTAATGAGAAACAATATGATTACTTCTGTTTATCACATTATTTGAATGGTTTGTGTGGTAAGACTAATCTGGTGAAGAAAATAATCCTCTCAGCTTTTGTTATGTGAGCGCAGTGTAAAGTTGGTGTTGTCTGATGTAATCTATCACTCCATCTTCAGTCAAGTACTTGATGGATAGTCCTCGCGAAATGCATTGTCTGTAAGAAGCAGAGGGATGAGCAAGAGAAGCCATCTTTTAGTGTAAATGAAATGTTCTTGAGGAGGATAAGTAAACATCATACTACCTTAATCTACTTGAGCTAATTTGATTAGGAACAAAATTGTTGACGATTCTGATGTTATCCTGCAAATGAAACCCTTATTAGATTTGACTCATTTGATAGAGATAAACCGAAACAAGAAACTCGGTAATACTTACACGGGTTTCGTTTAAGATTCTGTCACCAAAGATCATGCTTTCAACATCTTGCCCTTCTCTACGGATGCACACAATGCCATAGTCTTTACAAATACTCTTTACCTTCAAAAACACAATGTTGATAAGGGGTCATAACTATGAGTAGAATTGATAGAAACAAATCTCGGTTTGTTTAACGATGTGCCATCAATATACTGCCTTGGTTTTACCTGTTCAGGGATCCAAACACCGGGAGTGCAGAAAGATTGCAGTAAATCGGAGCCACAAAGTAGCATGACTTTGAGAGACTCTAGCATATTATAAACCACACATTATAAATTTGCGTTTATCAGTTGCGTGACAACTAGTACGATGATGACACATAGAAAAATCTCTGTTAAGATAAACTACGAGTAGAAAGATGCCAAAGACCACATAGGACAATGTGTTTCATTTATCTTACCCTTGGGTACAAGTAGATTGTTTGTAAGGAAAGTCTTGACCCTTGATAAAACCACCAAACTTCGTTGGTAGCTGTCTTGGGATGCCTGTAGAAACAGATTTTCATGGTTCTGTAAGAAGACAACGCTTTGTTCTTTTAAAGAGAACTTATCAAAAGCTTCCGAGGGAAAGATAGAGAGGAGTACCTCCCACGGATCAACCATTATAAAGTCGGAGCTTTTGCAAGCTAGATTACACATCTCTAAACGATGCTCTACAGATAAAAGTCCCTACACAGAACCTGGTAATTTTATTATTTCCGAAAAAAAGATTAAACAATAAACAGCAGAACCTTGAGAGCTAAAAAAAAGAAGAAGAAGTTCTTAATTCCATGTTCTTAATTCTCTCAAGTTGCCAAAATCATACCTCTTTCTTGTATGCATCATTCACAGGAGACATATAGCCTCCAAGAACATGAAACCCTTCCGAGCGTAATGCATCTCTCGCCAGCTCTAAACACAAAACAAATAACTTGAACGGTTTTGGACAAAAAAAGGTCGTAGCAAGATCATTCGATCAGACAAGCACCAACATGAATATTGCCAGAACCCTCTAAAACACATAGCTAATAAAGCAACACAGTCAGATAATGTAGAACTGAACAGGTACAGAACACTGCATATCTTAAGCTACTTTAGACTAATAAACAGTCACACTGAAACTACCAGTCATACACTGTTCATACTGCCTTAAAAAATGTTCGAATTTTCACATTGCTTTAAGTTGAAACCCATTGTATTAATAAGCATTGAACTCTAGAGCTGTTGTTGTAAGAAATCACCAAACATGCGTAAATGCATGAACGTAGGAGGATTGAAACTCCCAGTTGCCACAAGCACTACACAAGCTTTGTCCCTGTTACAGACAAAAATGATCAAACAAAAAGAAACAATACCCAAGAAATTTACAGTGAATTTTGTGAGAATCTAATCACCACAACTTAAGTAATGAGAGACAAAAAAAATAGAAGTCGAAAATTGAATTAAAAAAGCTCTGAAAATATTACTCAGGTTGTGATCCGATAGATAGTTTATCCAATGGTAGAGAGACATCCATTAGAACTGATAATCGAATCTTAGGCTGTGACAATCACTAGAAGACGACTATGAATAAAAAAGATAGAGCCAAAACGACGTCGTATAGAGTACATCTAACGACGACGTTTTACCTGAGTTAAAACGCACCGTTTTTTTGCACTTCTCAATTTTTTTTTTCTTTTTTGATTTAAAGGGGAAAATGGAATCGTTATCCCTAAAATTTTGAAATTCGAATCCGCGCTTATACTCTCTCTCTCTCTCTCACTCGATCTCGAGGGTTTATAGGTAGGTCGTCGGCGATGTATTCCGGTAGGGAGAATCCGAACGTAAACATGGAGAATCTTTTCCTTCAGATCTTTGATAGGAGTAGGCGAATCGTCGAGCAGGTCAATCAACAAGTAGATCTCTTTGACCACCACTTAGCCTCCAAGTGCCTACTCGCCGGAGTTTCTCCTCCCCCGTGGCTCTGGTCTCCCTCTATACCTTCCCAATCTTCCGGTACTCGTTTCATCCTTGCTCAATTTCTCGTCGATTCTCGCAGTAATGTCCGTGATTGGTTAATTAAAATTGATGCTGCGAAGTTGTTTGATACTTAAAATTGCAAGGATTGTTAGGGATAATTTGATGTTGAATTACATTTATAAGAGATAATAAACGATGTTAGGGTTCTTAAGCTTTATTTGATGTTGATTATATACTTTGATAGGTTTTAGGTACCACTCAAAGGACTATCTTGTTGAGATTAGTATCAGCTTACATCGGTTATATATGTGTTTAAGTGATGGTTGAAGGGAAGAGTTTCTGTTCGTTGTTCTTATTTTGATTTTGATTTTTTTGTTTTGATGTGTACAGAGTTGAATAAGGAGGAGATTATCTCTGGACTCCTATTTCCTCAATCAAGACGTTCCACCATTTGCCCTAGCGGCCGTTTCTTTCCGTATCAACGGCCCGTCAGTTTTCTAGCTGACAGTGTTGTAAGACAAGACCTGAGATCTCTGGTGAATAGCCGTTTGGAAGAGCAGGTGCTTGAAGAAGAAGAAGAACAACATCACCTCTCAGACAACTTGGACAGACGCGTTTCTCACGAGACTGCGTTTCCTAGAGATGTCGATGTGGAGGAACCGTTGGCAGAAAGTGTGTCAAGCGGTTGCAGAGAGGATCAAAGTTGTTTGTCTCGTGGACAAAGTCAGAATCAGGGGGTTGAAAATGGTCTTGATGCTGCTACATCTCCTGGACGTAGCCAAGGGAAAATGGTTGCTAAAAGTGTATCAACTACTGGTTGTAAGCGGAAACTATCATCTCTCGGATATTGTCAAGATCAAACTGAACCAGACAGTTGCTTTGAACCTAGACTACCGGTACCGCTTGATAAGATTCAGAGATCGAAGTCACGTCAAAAAGATTTTGAGCGTCGGAGTAGTGCCAAAGCTTCCAGAAGCCGTTCAAACTGTAGCAATGAGCTCAAACCTTCTCCAGGTGGAAATATAGGCCTTGAGATTGCTTCTTTAAGGTCCGACAGTGTTAGGGAAATAAATTTATTTAAGCATGATGAGAATGATGAAGGTTGTCCAGACGAAGTAGAGAACAGGAGTTCTCAAGGTAAAGGAGTGGATCAGTGTATTAATTTTAGCTCAACTTCAGAGTCTTCTACCCCACATCAGAAAGTGGTTTCGGTGCAAAAAGCTACCAGTGGAGATACTTCTGCTTCTATTTTACCAAAGTCTATACTCGAGTCTGTTCATGTGAATGAAATGAGTGTGACACAGACCAGTGAGACAATTGATGAAGTGCCGATTAAAGTGGATGAGAAATTGGATGATCCCCACAGCAGAAGTTGCAAAGAAATAGCTTATTTCGATGGAGGTACAAGATCTAAAAGCTCATGCCAAGATCGCTCTAACAGGGAACATCAAAAGTCTAGCAACTCTGTTTCGGATAGCATTCCATCAAGAAATTCAAATCCCTCTCACAGGGCAGATGATGGAGTAGAATTACCCCTGGTAATACCTCGTACTAATGAAGATTCTATGGTGACAGACGCGGGAACGAGACTCTTTCAGTCTGAAATCAAAACAAGATCACGCAGCAATGCACGAAGTTATGAATTAAAGACTGAGCATTCAGGCTCTGTTAAGTCTTCTTCAGTTGACCTGGAGCCAAGACATTCGATTTCATTACTGCAAGGTGGCGATGCAAAGGAGTTACTGATTCCCTCGACTATTGATGTTGAAGGCTTGTTGGTTGAAGATATTGTCAGCAACGATCTAGCAAAAGAAAAGGGTGAAGGTGTAAAAGAGTCACTGATTCCCGCTACAATCGATGTTGAAGATAGTAATTCTCGAGGAAAGAGATCCAAGACCGAGCATTCAGGCTCTGTTGTGTCTTCTTCAGTTGTCATGGAACCAAGAGATTCAATTTCATTACTGAAAGGTTGCGAAGTAAATGAATCGCTGATTCCCTCTACTGCTGATTTGGAAAGATTGGTAGTGGAAGATATTACCAGCTACAATCAATCAAAAGAAAAGGGTGAATGTGTCAAGGAGTCACTGATTCCCTCGACTATTGATGTTGAAGGTTTAGCACTTGTAGATATCACCAGGAGCGACCAATTAAAAGGAAAGGGTGAGTGTGTTGACACTAACAGATGTTCAAGTGCTGGAAGGGTCAGCCAAAATGGCGTATCCATAGATGAGACGGCATTTGCGACTGCAACTGAAGACTCTATACCCAAGACCGAGCTTTTGGGCTTTGATGAGTCCTCTCCAGTTGAACTTCAGTGGAGACAATCAGTTACTGGTGAAGCTTTATCAGTGGAGGAAGATAACGCTGGTGAGGCAACTGAAGTTAGCAGTATCTCAAAATCTAGAAGTGTAAGCGAAACTGACATCACGGTAGTTGAGCAAGCGGTGGTTGAATCTATTCTTCAGGAAAGCGGTACTCCAGAAAACTTGACTGAGCATTCTAAAAAATGGGATATTAGTTGTGTGTCCAAGGAGCAGTCACAGGGTTCATTGACCAAAGCAGGGAGTAGCCAGTGCCATGTGATATTAAGTAGGCCAAGAAGCTCAGCCATTGAAGAGGAATCAGCAAATGAATCTAATGCTCTTTCTGTTGGCTTTGATAGTAAATCGGCTGACGATAGGCTTGAAGTTAGAGCAGGAAACGCATCATTAATAACCCATGATCTCCCAGCTTTTGTGAAGCCTGATACACCCTGTTTTGATGATAATGTAGAACAAAGCTTGGATGAAATTCCAATGAATAATCGAGAAAAATCTGCATGGCGGAAGGTCCCAACACCATCATCTGCCGCAAGGTTGTCCGAAGTTCCATCTCTCACTGATTCTGAAGTAAATCTCTCGGCAGACAATAAAGTGAATGACATAGAAGATCATAATGGCTTAAAGAAAGAAATGGTATCAGAAATGGAATCGCCTGCAAGCCATACTGGCTTAAGAATGGGAGAAAATGAACCTCCAGAGTCAAATACATTGGCTGGTCAAGTAGATTCATCGAAAAACACACCTCAACTGGGAACATCCGTTGACAAAAGTGTTCCCCCAGTTGATAGAAATGCAGCATATACAGAAACAGGTGAATCTCATGGTCAAGAGAGCTTTATACAGAAAATTTTCTGCTCTAATTCCTCCATGGAGGAGTTCCAACTGCAGAATAAGCGGAGAAGAACCCTGGCAAAACTAACTAGTGAAGAGCCTTCGTCAAGCCCAGGGGTAAATGTTCTTTCTTATGTCTTCGGACAGTTTAATATCTGAGCGTTTTAAAGTCGTCCTTCCAAATGTAACTAAAATGTTTTTTGAAGCATGTTTCTTTTATATATGGCAGGGAGACATTTTCGACTCAGATTCTGCTAGGGACACAGTACATCATAGTGAGGAAGCAGCATGTTACCTCAATCACTATGATGTCGAGTTACAGAAGATAGTTGGATCTGCAGATCACTATGAAGTTGAGTTACAAAAGATGATTGGGTCTGCATCGTCAGCTGAGTTGCGATTTGAAGAGGTATGTGCTGTATTTATCATTCTTCTTAAGTTTGTCTTGTAAATAGTAACATTTCTCTCCCGAAAATTAGTGTAGCCGCTCAATTGAAAAATATATCTTCATTACTTGCTCTAAAGGGAAATAGACAATTATACGTCATTTGAAAATCTCAATCTAGACTTAAGTGCCGTAGTATCAAGCACCTCACAAGCTGCACATGTGTATATAAAGCTAGTAACCATAAAAATTATCGGCAACAATCTGAAATCCTACTCAAAATTATCACCTTATCTGTTCTCGTCTTTGTATGCCTTTGTTGCTATGACTCCATTTATTGTCCGACAAGAGATTAAAGTACAGTACAGCTTGAGCTGATAGTTTGAATAACATTAGTCAAAAATGGATATTTACAGGGTTACTTATTCAAGGAAGCTGGATTGATGAGTCCTGCTTCGCTTTCCATCAGACCAGAACAGCTAAGTGTAGAGAGGAGTCATTATGCTGCAAATCAGGAATTGCAAACAGAAAATATGGACTTTTTGCCGTTTCTTGGAGAAACCTCTCACCCATTTGCTAGTGCCGATGTCCGCAGTTCAGATTATTCTCATTGTTTACCATCCTTCGGTTTGTCAGGAGCAGTCGATGGAAGCCCCCCTATTCTGGAGGGCTTTATTGTTCAAACCGATGATGAATGTCAAAGTGATTACAAAAACCAGATGAAACATGACAGCTTCCAACTTCCTAAAACCACAGCAGAAAGTGCAACCATCATAGAGACGATTCGCAAGTCTGCTTGCAGGACCACTCCGTCATTACATATGGCTAACATGTTTAAGATCAATGGAAAACTGGACTTGGATCAGTCCATTTCAACTGAGCTGCTTGATGGCATGTTTTTCGATCAGAATTTGGAGAATAGCTCTGTCTTTGATAACTTGGGGATTAACCATGACTATACAGGAAACATCAACTATCATGCTGATACTACGTATCCTCGTTCGTCTCCAACTGGGAAGTTGTGGTATAGAAGTTTGCAAAAATCTTCCAGTTCAGAGAAGCAGGGCAGTCAGACACCAGACCTACCTTGCATTAGCGAAGAGAATGAGAGCGTGGATGAGGAGCCTGAAAACTTATGTCCCAACAGTCCAAAGTCTATAGGGTCAGAGAAGCGAGGAAGTTATATTGCAGACCTTCCTTGCATAGCTGAAGAGAATGAGAAAGAAGATGAGATATCAGAAGCTGCCAGTCAAGTATTTGATTCCAAAAGTGGGAACGTCTCTGCTGAAAAGAAGACTCTTGCTGATGTTGATGAAGACCCTATGAAACTTCTTCAATCCGTCTCTAAAGCCATGATTCCTGTTGATAGACAGAGCCTAGATTCTGTCACATTTAGCTTTTCTGCTACATGCAACAACAGTGTCAAAAGTAAAGCAGAAATGAAGAAGGGTGGTAGCCGAAGATTCACGGGTAAAGGTAAAGAGAGTCAAGGTCGAGCAGACCCTGGAAGAAATCTTAGACCGCCTAGTAGCAGGTTCAGTAAGGCTAAGTTGTCTTGCAACTCGAGTTTGGCATCGCTAGGGCCGCGATTACAAGATAAAGAACCTAGGCACAACAATATTGTTTCAAACATCACTTCGTTCGTTCCACTTGTGCAGCAGCAGAAACCAGCAGCTGCAATAATCACAGGTAACAGATATCTTAGTCTAGTAGAAAGCATTTGATATGTAGACTTACTTATTTTGTCTGAACTTACCCTATATCTATGTTTCCCCTAGGCAAGAGGGATGTCAAAGTAAAGGCCTTAGAAGCAGCTGAGGCTTCGAGAAGGATGGCTGAACAAAAAGAAAATGAACGTAAGATGAAGAAAGAAGCTATGAAGCTTGAGCGGGCAAGGCTGGAACAAGAAAATCTGAGAAAGCAGGAGATGGAGAAGAAAAAGAAAGAAGAAGAGCGAAAGAAAAAGGAAGCGGAGATGGCTTGGAAGCAGGAGATGGAAAAGAAAAAGAAAGAAGAAGAGCGGAAGAGAAAAGAATTCGAGATGGCTGATAAGAAGAGGCAGAGGGAAGAAGACAAGAAGTTGAAGGAAGCTAAAAGACAGCGAGTTGCAGAAATGCAGAGACAGCAAAGAGAGGCTGATGCGAAACTACAAGAAGCTGAAAAAGAACTGAAAAGAAAGGCTATGGTAAGACTAAGACTAAGACCACTCTTCTTGTTTTTGATCGTAGAAACTTTGTTTTGACTTGATGTGATGTATATAGGATGCGAAGATCAAAGCAATGAAGGAACTTAAAGAAGAACAAGGTAATGCTAGGATCCGTGAAGTAAGATTAAAGAGTAATTCCAGCGACGATACCAACGCATCAAGATCCTCGAGAGAGGATGATCTCAAGGTACAAGTTTCTCATCTTTTAGAGTTTTTTAGAGATGAGACCAATCTCGGTACATAACAGTACTTGTGCTTACAGGTGATAAGGAACATAGGGAAAATGTCTGAAGAGTCATACGACATCTCTCCATACAAATGCTCAGACGACGAAGATGAAGAGGAAGACGACGACGACATGTCAAACCACAAATTTGTTCCTTCTTGGGCCAGGTTTTGTTTCTTAATTGCTTCTCTCACTCTTTAATGTTCAGCTCTCATTAGTCACTAAAGCGTCTTGTTTAATACAGCAAGAGCAATATACTCGACAGTGTCATTTCCCAACAAAATCGTGATCCCGATATTACTTTCCCTGCAAAAAGCTTCCGCAATATAACCCAAGGTAGAATCTTTCGTTTACACTTGAACATAATTAAAATAAGTTTATTAGTTTTAATCCCATGATATCTCTCGACATTTGCAGTTCTTTTGCCGAGAAAGTTCCGAACCCAGTTGCATTAACTACGAGGAGCCAAACTCAGATTCTCAGAGAGTGAAACTTTGTGTTTCAAGTTCCTTAGTAGCTTCAGCTTCAAGTCAGATAATAGTTTGTGTATACACTTCTCTTTGTGCTTAACCTATTGTAGCAAATGACCCTATTATCATATTCGAATCTTTCATGAAGATTCATGTTTGCTTTTGTAAGGATTAGTGGATGGATGTAATGTAATAATTAATTAGTCATCCTAGTGGAAAGAGCCTGGTGCTGAAAGCAAGAGACTTGTTACAATTTCGATGTAACCAGGTTTTCACCAGTTGTACATGTTTTTTTGTGTCATTTTAGAACGATCTCTGCTTTGAAAAAACCGAGTTCATGTCTAATGGAAGTCTTGACAAGATTCTGAATCAGAACCAGTTGTACATTTTTGCTTGACTATCATTTGATTTGTTTAACATTGGGTTGGTTCAGTGAGTTTAAATATTGAACAATTAGTTTATTTCGAATTCATATAAACCACATCTCAGAATGTTAATGTCATGATCAGCATATAAACATCCTTGAACTCGTCTCAAAGTTCACACAAATTAAACCTTGACAATGAAATCTAGTGAAATCCTTTCCCTAAGATAGTTAACGCATATCTCGAGGATCTGCTTCTCTGTAACACGAATCGTTCTAAATCTGTATGTTTGTTATTCTTTCGTTTTTTATTAACAGTTGTCATGTCTTGTGTTTCTATTTACCAGGTGAAACTGCTGTTCATCACCTGTGAAGTGCTTGATATATCTCTGATTAGCAATTAAGTATGCAATCATAGTTAAGACTTTTGTTTTCTCTTGTTTCGTTGGCAGTTCTTGTTGTAAGTGCCAACCAGTTCCAGAACCTTAAGCATCTGAACTAGTGCTGTTATGATGCAGAACAAGACACGTAAGACAGTGATGCGTCGTTTTCACTAAGCTCTTTTCCCTGACAAATACAACTCAAAAACCATACCAAAAATATCTGTCTTAATCGAGTTTCGGTATACTCCAGGTGTGTTTTATAACTGCTGTCTTACTCCACTTGTGTTAAAAGATCTTTTATTTGCAAAGCTACGAAGAGGAACAAACTCTGAATAATAGCTGGATCTGTGTTGGCAATTCATGTGCTAAACTTCACCTGTAAATTAGTATGGGACACATTCAGATACTGATCCATGGAAAATGGTAAATGAAATGCAGAGCCATGGAAGATGCAAAAGGTCCATCTTCTCTGTGTGTTTTTTGAGGAATCTTTTGATGTAAATATTGTCAGAATGGAGACAAACTGGTTTGTTGTGTTGGGATGGTGTCTGATGGATCTTGCTTGATGCAGACAGAATCTTGCAGTACCCACTCGTGAGCATGTAACACAAATATTATTATATGCATTGTCAATGTTAAGATTGTCTGTTAGACTTCTAACAATTTTATTACGTTTTGCGTTTACAAAAATTGGTTGCACGCATCAGGAATTCAAAAAAAAAAGCATGTGGCAACTATTACTCAACAAAATATTACTAAGAAATTTACCAATCCTGCATAATATAAGCTTCATGTAAATAGAGAGATGTAGAATGAAACTAAAACAGCTAGTGGATTAAGATATAGTTTGGTAACATTGGTAGATGTTAAATATGAAAACCTTTAGTTAAAAAAAAAAAATTGGTAGATGATGAGTGATGGCGGCTGATGACGTTTTAGAATATAGTTTTGCGAAATAACGATGTTTGTTAGGAAAGCGTATTGTATACTAATTTCCATTTAAATTAACATTATACTTCTGTAAACAAAGAGGCAACTTGATGAAATATAATTACAAAGATCACCTAACTAGTGTCATGATTTTGACAAAATCTTTTCAACACATCTTTTAAAACTGACCAGACCTTGACCCGCCCGACCGGGCGGGTATTTATTTTATGTTTTTGTTTATATTAAATGATGTATTTATAATATTTAAACATAAAATTTGATTGAAAATTAATCTTTACAGTTATAATAATTAAAATGAAAAATTTAATAAAATATATTGATATAAATTATAAATTTCTTAATTAAAATAATATAGAGGTGGGTCATAATTTCTTCCAACTCCAAAATCTTATCATCCCTTAAAAAATTATAAATACTTAAAATATATAAACATATGTAGAACTGTAACTTCTAT